AGAACTCTTGAATTCATTTGAAGAAACAGAAAATGGCATCAATTAGTTTTAAAACTTTTAAGATGGTATTTAGAATAACATTTTAAATTTGATGACCATATTTTTGAAGAACATTACTAATTTAAGAAAAAGTTTCATCAAATATTATCAAATGAATCCTTTGAAAGTGATAGTTTTAGCATAGATTTATCTATTATGTTCTCTTTCATTAAGAGTAAACTCGCTGCAATAAATTAATTCAATAAAAGATTCTAAATGATGAATTAAGAGGGAAAAAAAGGAAGAAAGATGCGAGGAAAAGGCAATGGTATTCTATTATCATAACCGGGATACGTTACAGTGATAATACTGCCCACGCTTCCTTTCATAGATCGTATTCGCTCGTTACATTTCGCGTTTACGAGATTAATTTTAACACTGCATATCATTTTTCATGCCAGCGAACTGTATCACCTTCATTTCATATTATATATAATATCTTTTTATTACTTAAAAAAATTATAAATTCCACTATAAATTATAAAACATTAATAGTCGAAATATATTGTCTTCTGTAGCAAAAAGTTGTAAAGACTTTCAAGAAATAATTCATCTTGACTACATAATTTTTTAACATATTAAATTATATAGTATATTTGATATAGTAGCATTGAGTATAGTACATTTGAGTATAACATCTGTCTTAGGTATTATATTCTTAGACAATCTTAGATATAACGTAAGAATTGCAAAGAAATGATTTATGAATGCATTTTTTTATCTGCTTTAATATTAGACTGCAAATTGGTATGCACTTATAAAAAAGTTAGCAGGAGAGATACAAAACAGTAAAAATAAAAAATTTTAACAGTAATGCCTTTACTGTATATACCATTTATTTAAAAATATTTAGAATCCATTAAACTTCTAAAGGAATGAGAAATCAATTTTTATTTAACTACGTCGTTTTTGCAATCGCTGCAGAAAATTGTTTAAAAAAAGACAATATTTCATTTATTTAAAAAGTGTTCATTTGATGCAGCGATTAGACCGTTGTTGCATTTAACAAAAAATTTCCCAAATTACAATGACTGGGTAAATTGTTATCGTAAGACCTTTGATTATGGTTAACGACTGAGAGATACTGGTTTGATTCAACGGCGTGACAAGTCTGCTATAAACTATTCCGGAGAGACTACAGAATAGTTTATAGGAGACTTGTGTAGACTGCAGAGTGTAGAGTAAAGGGAGCCGATGGAAAACGAATGCAAGTGTGCAGCACGTGTGAAGAACGACCCAGCTGGTTGCTTCAATGAATACCGCTCCTGCTTTCGAAATTCCGGCTAGAGAATGTACAACGATCTCTGAACTTTTCACACTGCACAGGAACCTGATTTTATAAACAAATATTTCACAATTATTTTCTGAAAATAATTGACATCATAATCTGAAAAACGCTTTAATAATTGATCTATCACTTCATTCGAGCACCCTTGAAGCGCCTTTACCATTAATTAATCTTCGAATTAGAGCTATTGCCCCATCGAATTCAGTGCTTCTACTAAAATAATTAACTCTAAGATTCTTAAAATTTGCAATTATTGTGACTGCGAAATGCATTCGTGGAGAATTTCATTTATACATTTATGAAGATTTTCGTGTAAGGAACTTCATTCATGTAAAGTCAAGGCTCGGAACACCTTTGGCGTGTGTGCCTGTCGCTGTATATGTGTGTGTATTAGGCGAACAGCGCGGAGCAAGACGCGGGCGGGAATCAGGAGGCGTAACCCTAGCGATCCTCATGTTGCGTGCTGGTTAATTCCGAGTCCTGTTTCAGGCCTACGTAGTTCTAGTGCTACTTAAATCAATAAAACACGTCGCAGGAACGTTTCACCCATACCAGACGCATACAACATATTTAATGTTCGCACAAAATGATATTTTACGCGGCAATACGACTGAAACATTTTATGCTCCAACAGAATTAATCTTTGATTAAACAAAAAGAAAACCACTGGATCATTTGATTCTTAGTCTGATTGGTCTAATAAAATTCTTAAACAGCTATCGTTAAAATACAAGAAGCACTAAACAAAAACATTTCGGTGAAATTTCGGTGAGCAATAACAGATTTAAGGATCTTCGATCGGTTTCAAATGGCTTTCAGCTTAATAATTCCCGTTCATTGAAAACCATCCCGATCAATTCTATAAATCATACGGTTATAAACGTTACCGGCGATAATAATAATTGAACACTATGACAAATAGTTCGGAACAGTTTGTCTCGGCCAAACCGTCCTAAAAGTTGGAAATCCGAAGCATCCTCATTCTTAGTCTAGCATCAAGAAAATGAAACGCAAGATCGGTAACTCTTCGAACAGTAACAACTCTCCAAATTTTGAGTCTGTGCGCACTAATATGTACATTTATAATAAATAAATATTATAAACAATCTATAGTATCAGTATGTCACAAACAAACTATGCAGATGAAGAAAATGCATCTTGAGACCAGCAAGGAGATTACATGTCGCAAGATCACTAGTTTTTTCGTTCTCAAACAAGCCTTAAATCTGTTTATACTTTCAAAACCGTTGAAAATGCAAGTAATATACGCGAGTCAGCAGGTCCTATGTACAAGTAGCAACGGAATCGTGTAAAATTGAAATACTGTAGATCAGATAACATTTTCCAAATTTCGAATTGGAACACAGTTTCGACTTGTAGCCCTTTTGAAGTCTAAATTCGACGGTTGCGAATCCCTCAAAAAATTGTTCAAAGGCGACAGCAATTTCGCCTATAATTCAACGAATTATTCGATGTAACATCTTCCTTCGAATTCATTATTTAAAAGAAATTTACCGAGCTTCTCTCGTGCACGATGCAGTCATCGAAAGGTCTATTAATCCTTTTTTTCTTCGAAGAAACGATTACAATGGCGAAGCTTCTATCGTTGTAACTGTAAAGAAAATGGCACATCTGCAGATACAGCCTCCGCCTTGTCCCATTGGAACCGACAAGAAAATAGGAAATCCCAGGGATCGTCCAGGCCCGCAACAAGAAAGCGTCTCGCAAGAATGAAATTGCGAGCGGCTGATCGTCCGAAAAGCTTTACACGCCGGACGCCCCCGCATCGTTCCCCCTACTCTCTGGTTCCGGAGAGGCAGCAATTACCTTTCCCCTCGGTCTGTATCAGCACCGTGGTTCTCTCGACAGAAGAAAGGAGCCTCATTCTACGTACGGCACTGGCCGTTTGCGGAGGCTCTCCTTAGCAGAGAAACGGTGCGAGGGACGCGTCAGCATCGCCAGGCGTCGAACGGCGTCGGTCTTGTTCCATTCCCGATCCGATTTCCCATCGTGCGACGCCGTATCGTCCGCGGTCGGTGATCGACAGTGCCCGTGGATCGTTCGATCGATCGGTTTTGCACGTGCTGGATCGTTGTGTGCCCGTGTTCTGGATCCTCGCGCGGCGCCCCGCGAACAAACGTGCGCCAACTATCGTTTCGGAGACACGCGTACTCTCCGCGTTAGGTAAGAGTAAACTCTGCTCGCGGCTCGACGCATTTGCTATGCTCGTTTTGCATGCTAGTGTCGGATGCACCGAGCGCACGATGCATCTCGGGCGGACGCAGCCGGCGAAAAGTGCGCTCTCGCTGCGTTCCGCGATGGCATCGATCTCCGCTGGCTCTCGTCTGCACTTCGTGGATGTATCGTGGAATGTCTGTAGCATTTACCGCGGGATCTGTGCGATTTTTTGGCGGTTTCTCTCGAGGCTTCTAATCGGTATGGAGTTTTTGTCGGGCGAACGATTGTTTGGAGATGTTATTCGCAGATTCGAAGGTGTTCTTCTTGTGCGATTTCTTGATATTCCTGTGACATTGGGTCACGCATTGATCTAATATCGTTGCTTGTATTTTTTTTTGTAATAATAATGAGAAATTGTTTTCGAGGCAGGATCTATCTAGGGGTGATTTCTAATTTTGAGTCATTGTTGCGGATGTAGGAGAAGCTACTGCAGATTTACCGACTCAATTGTGCGTAAACTATGCCACCGTGCTGTAGATAATTTGTTGCGATAATGTTTTACGAGCATAAGAACGAAACGATTTTGAAAGAGGGTTGTGAAAATTATCTGACAGAAGACATTTCTTTCTTGAAGCAACGCGGTTGTATATTCAAAATGTACGCACGCTTGGCAAATTGATTTTAACGTAACATTAGAATCCTATCGTACGGATTAATTCATCTTTATAAAATTAGAAATACAGTTACTTGAACAAATTGTCAGTGGGTGGTTTGGAGTGCGTGGCTAAACGGAGTAACAAACGATAAGTAGACTTAATGCAAAATAAAAGCGTTATTCATAAGATGTTTCGCGTAAACTTCAAGCAAAATAAAGATATTGTTCACCTAATTTAACGAATAGAGGCCGGATTAGCCTTCGTTCTTTAGCAATTTTAGTGAATTGAAAATAACGTATACGCGTATCCGCAAATTCGTTTAATCTACTCACTATTGTAAAGTTGATCTACTCATGTATATTGTGAAAGCATCAAATTCGCGATCTAACGATAAACGTTATTGATGTTTCGAGCAGAATTAATTTAAAGAGTAGTGCGATCATTGCTTCCCCCCGAATGCACTTAACAATTAATAATGTCATTAAGAATGTTTACGTTAAACCTTTGATATTCGATTTCTTTTACAATCGCACTAATTTCGAAGTTCATTTAGAAAATTATTAATTTTGTGAGCGTATTTTATCTAGACGTTTTAATCATTTTTAATTAAACGGATATCTTTAAAAAAAAGGGTCTCGATAACGCCATTCAACAGCAGATAGGCGCTTTCGCAGTGGAACGTTTTTACATTTTATGTAGTACAGTCGTATTGACAAGTCGGTCGTTAAACTGCAAACGATAAACATTAGATAACACTTAGGTGCGGCACGTTCTCCTGTACTGGAATAGTGAAATAGAGATTGGACAAGCACACAGAGAGAGAATAGAAAGAAATAGCACATATGTCCATATCGTAAACTCACCGGAATAGTGATTTATATATATTTGCTAATTTTGACGAGGTCGCCTATTCTTTCTTTGTTTCTCCTTTGAAGTAGCAATAAATTACGAAATAATGGCGAAATAGGGAGCATTCAGGAGGGCCAATAAAACGGACAATGGCATCGGTCGGCGGCGTTCTGATTCATAGGCTTCCGAAAACAATAGTAAATCGTAAGGATCTCGTGAGTTCGTTTGTGGCAGTTCATCGGTATTAACACAAGTTAACTATCAATGTTGCGAAACCTCGAGACGTCTTAGGATTAGCTGGATGATTCACGAAGCACCGATGAGAATAAACGTGTTGGAACGAGCGTGTATCGCCGTTCATGCTATCGGATATACGCCGTTCATACCAGTTTAATAAACCTAATGCTACCATTTTCTACTAATTATAACGCATACTTTTATTTATCCTTACATAGAGAAGCATTTGAAATTTTCAGCTTATAGAACATTCGAATTATTTCCGAAGGCCGCAACGACATTTAACAGTGTTCTATCTCTTCGCTTTCAGATGGAACATCACGCCCATGGCTTCTTAGCTTCCGTCCGATAATTCGAAACGAGGGGAGGAGAGTAAAATGGCTCGAATATTGTCTTGCGAGACGATTCTCGCGGCACTTCTATTTTTGTTAACTATCGCATCGAGTAAGTGTGATTTTCCAATTTTGTTCGATCTAATTCAACCCAACGGGAACCCATGCGACATCCAATTCTCATCTAGCTATCACAAATGTTACATAATTTGTTCGTAGGACGTCGAAATCTCGAACAAAAATTGGACGATATTTCCTCCGGACCACGAGAACTTAGATCAAGACAAGTTTAAAAATCTACAGTTTCTCTAAAAAAAATCTTACATCGATTATTTACTCATCGATTATTTATTTTTTCAATATACCGCGCGATCGTTCTTCGATCGCGAGGAGAAATCATTTGTATACAGTCGTTTCGAAATAACTGGAGGACAATTTGCAACGTTTTTAAATGATCAGAGTGTTTTCGAGTTAGAACGGATGTTGTTGGAATGTTGTTCGAATAGTCGAGGCTCGTCTATCCACGATCGCAACGTGCTTTCCATTCATTGCTCTCACAAGAAGCAACTTTATCCGTACTGATTAGATAGCGATTTGACCCCACGACCTGCCTTTCTTCGGAACTCCTCCAGTTTATTTCGGTCTCCAAAATCTAAGCGTCTTAGAAGCCAGAAAACGCGAACACCCAGTCGGCCATTAAAAACACTCCTCGCCGACCGTGCACACATTCTACCGAAATTCGGAAAAAAAATCGTCGAGTCTCGCGAACAGATTTTCCGCTGAAATCAATTTGTGCGATCGCTTAATTTTTTTTAACGCATCGACTGCCACATCAGCGCTAAAAACAGTCCGACGTATCGAAACAACTTGCTCGATAATATGCAAATAGAAAAGATAAGTGTTAATTTAGCAAACGTTTTTCTAGCTTGCAGATCCTAAGAAAGCTTCGTTTACATGATACTTAACAAATTCTAATAGAATCGTAATCAAATTGCGGTGACAGACGATTTTCTGTTAAAAGTGTTAATCGTCGAAATAATTGATGTTCAGATTCTGTCGTAGAATTTATGAAATTGAGGAACTTTTGGCGGTGCAAGATGCTAATTTCGATGGAACCGTAGTTTCGTGGAATAATCAGTTTCAGTGATTTCTGTCCAATTTAAGGGTTCCCATTCATTTCAACGATTAGATCCAGAGTCGCCACATCATAAACATCCGGCTGTCCCTTGCGATAGCCTCCAACGGTTGTAGAACGGTGCTTGATAACGTTCTAGACTCGTTTAAAATTTTCACCGATGAATTACAGCTCTCGATTTTCTCGCTTCTGGAAGAAAGCGTACTTCAAAATTCGCCAGGAAACTGCTGATTTTTAAGCTTGTCGCCTTATTGACCCAAAGAGAGGGGGAGGGGGAAAGGAGGGAGTGAAACGCTCCCATTCTCATCCGAAACGATTTCTTAATGAATTTTAATTAAATTTTGTTGCCACATTTTTGCCATTTCTTACACAGAAGAGTAAACGGAATTTAATTTTTAGATGCTGCGGACCGGCAACATGTCAGAGAAAGACATCCGATCAGAGGTGAGTCACTGACTGATTAAATATGAAGCCAAACCGCGTGCGATTTATAATTTCTATTCGAGTCTGTGTATAATTACCGTCGGACTAGCAAATGCCGCTTGGCATGGTATCTCCAAAACTGGCGTCATTAGAACATACGTAAACCCAAACATGTGCGAGTAAGCATTCGAGATAAAAACGGGGTGTTATAGGATCTGTCCAGAGGGGAGATATGTCGCCTATGGAGGTGACGGCGGAACGCCATAATTGGCCAAGGCTGACCGTTCCTGGCCCAAGAGGTAGCATTCTCGTTGGTTCCATCAATCTTCTTCGTTACGCAATCTGTCGTTGAACAACTAAAACAAAAAAAAAACAGAAAACCCTGATAACGGCATGACGATGTTACACGAATTAAAAAATTAATCCACCCGTTTCTTTTTCCGCCACGCGCATTCGATGTGTGTTAACAAACGTCGCTCCGAAGATCCTTGGATCGCTATACCGGAGATCGAAGTAAAAAAAAAACGAAAGAGTCAATAACGCTGAAAATAATAATGTTTAACAACGTTCTTCTCGATGTAACGTATCGGTAATACATTTGACGCTTTAGTTATCGAATTTTTTTTCTCGGGAGAACATAGAAAAGCCATAAACGGAATGTTAGACGCATAAAACATTCGAAAAGAACGTTTTTGTTTCTATATGTATAATAAACAGCAAACTTGTCAGAATTCGTTATAAATTGAGCATCAACATATATTTTTCTTATCTCTGTCACATGGTACGTCCTTTAGGACCGTGTAATAACTTCATTTTAAACGATAATCTCGAACGTGATGATTTAATTAGAAGGATTCTTCAATTATTATTATTATTATTATTTATATTATATTTTTTATTATTATTTATATTATATTTATTATTATTTACTTCAACAATTCTTTCGTTTGTTCAAAAATTCTTGTATGAACTGTACTGGCTAACCGGATAACTAAAGTGTCCAATTCTACCAAAATATCCGCCACAAGACTACCAGGAAACTTGTCCTCTCTGTTTAATCGACTTAATCTGGTTGAGGTGGTGTCGAACGGTGTCTGCGAACTAACAACGGTCTCTGGTCGTTTCGTTAACGGTTACCGGCGTAAATAACAGCCATTCATTCACCGCCGTAGCTGGTACTAGTAACAATGCTGGAGCTGGCCGAAGGGAACGGAGATAATCAACCTGTGGCTAACTCGACGTTATCGTCCTGAAAGAATCCGTTTCAGCTCGTTCTTTGCGTTCCTCAGGTCCGAACATGAAGAGGAAGCATCCTTGCGAGCAGAGCTCGTGTTACCCGGCGACTGGGAATCTGTTAATCGGTCGGAAAAATCGTTTGGCGGCGTCGTCGACTTGCGGTCTCAAGGGACCGGAAAGATACTGCATTGTCACGCACTTGAAGGACCGGAAGAAGTGCTTCTTCTGCGACACGACGCACCCGAAGCAACAGCATAACATCGAGAACATCGTCAGCGGGTAAGGAATCATTATACAGAGTGTATCATAATTATGTTAACCAACATGGAGAGGGATGATTCCTGAGGTGATTTGAAGTAACTTTTTCCTTAGCGAAAATGCAATCCGCGGCTTCGTTTACGAGTTATTAACGAAAAACCGTGACCAATGAGAGGCGAGATCAGCTGACGCGAGGCGACGGAGCCAATGGGCGGAACCGGGCCTCGACTGCTCGTTGGCTCGGCCACCTCGCGCCAGTCGAGCTCGTCTCTCATTGGTCAGTGTTTTTCGTTGATAACTCGTAAACGAAGCCGCGGATTGCATTTTCGCTAAGGAAAAAGTTACTTCAAATGACCTGCGGAATCACCCCCTGTAAAAAGTTTATAGACGGCTGATTCATCGATTATATATACTATATTACTATATATATTATATGTATTATATAATTATATATATTATATATTATTATATATACTATTATATATATTATATATATTATGTATTATTATATATACTATTATATATACTATAATTAAAGACACGATTCTCTGAATCAATTTTGTGGTTTCCACTCCCCGAGACTTTGTTTTCGATAAATATTGCACAATTGAACGAATCACGCTTATTACGTTAACCTTTTGTACTTGAAGCCATTTCAACTCCAGATGCAGTCTAACGGTTGAACTTTTAACAGTTTGTTTTCTTTTCAAAGATGAACAAATATGATAGCGTAAAAATTAAATCAGGACGCGATAGAATTTTTAGCGGTGTCCTTAGAGTCACCACTGGGGCGCAGAGGGTTGACTATGTTCGAAATGAAACTTTTAGGACCTGGTGGCAAGCGGAGAACGGCGTGGAGAACGTGTCGATCAGCTTCGATCCCGAGTCGGAGTTCCACATCACCCACATCATCATCAGCTTCCAGACGTTCCGGCCAGCGGCGATGTTGATCGAACGATCGTTCGATTTCGGGAAGACCTGGAAGGTCTATCGATATTTCGCGCACAATTGCGAGCAATATTTCCCCGGGGTTTCTACCGTCCCACCGCAGAGATTGACGGACGTTATCTGCGAGACGAGATACTCCGCCGTGGCACCGTCAACTTTAGGTGATGTTATCTTCAGGTATGCGCATACACTCTGGCAAAGGTCCTGATCACCGATAACGTCGGCACGTTAATTGACTTCTGGCGCATGCAGAGACGAAGCAGACGTTGCTGCAACGTTTGGTTGGTCTGCGAGACAAATGTGCTTGTACATCGATCTTTTTTTATCGGGTTGTTGCACGGAGACGACGTTAATCGTCGAGCCCGTAGCGATCATTTGTAAAATTTTTGATAAGAGATTATTTCATTATTCTTATATTTTCATTGTTCGTATTTCGGAGACAGTAAGTTAGGGGAATCGAAAGGGAACGTTTCTCTCTTTAAAATGAGCCTAGGTGGGTCGTTGTACGATTTCTTTACGAAGTTATAATACATGGCGATTTGAAATGTGGAGTCATCTTGAGATAACAATCTTTCGTAATTTTTCGCACGTTAGGTTCGCGTTCAAAACATTTTACAAGTTTTGGAAACGCGCTGATAACGTCTTAGGGTAGGTAATCGTCCTTATATCGAAATTCTAGATTAGAAAGAAGGAGTTAGAAAGGATCAAAGCATCCCTTGCAAAGCCAACATCTCGTTAGGATCTCGCGGAACGTGGACATTTCAGTTACAAGCTCTCGACCGTGATTCCAGGGTGCTGCCGCAGAACCTTGAAATCGACAATCCTTACTCGAAGGAGGTGCAGAACCAGCTGAAGATAACGAATCTGCGCATCAACATGACAAGGCTGCACACGTTGGGCGACGACCTCCTGGACGATCGCGCCGAGATCCGCGAGAAGTACTACTACGCGATCCAGAACATGGTGATCCGAGGATCGTGCTCCTGCTACGGCCACGCTTCGAAGTGCGTCCCGCTTCCCGGCGTGCCCCACGAGGAAGGCATGGTGCACGGCCGTTGCGAGTGCACCCACAACACGACGGGCCTCAACTGCGAGAAGTGCCAGGACTTCTACAACGATCTGCCTTGGAAGCCGGCGGTGGGCAAGTGGACGAACGCCTGCAGACCTTGCAACTGCAACAACCACACGAATTCCTGTCACTTCGACGAAACCGTCTACGAGCGATCCGGCAGAGTGTCGGGCGGTGTCTGCGACAATTGCCAGCACAACACCACGGGCCAAAATTGCGAGCAATGCAAGCCCTTCTTCTACCACGACCCTAGCAAAGACATCTCGCACCCGGAGGCCTGCGTGCCCTGCGACTGCGACCTCGACGGTTCATTGGACGACGGGATCTGCGACTCCTACACCGATGCTCCGACCGGCGAGGAGCCCGGTCGGTGTCATTGCAAGAGCAACGTCGAAGGGCGTCGTTGCGATCGCTGCAAGAACGGCTTCTGGGACTTCGACCCGGCGAACCCCGAAGGCTGCAAGGCCTGCACCTGCAACACCCTCGGCACCGTCGACAACCGCGGATGCAACACGTACACCGGCGAGTGCACCTGCAAAAGATACGTCACCGCACGGGACTGCAATCAGTGTTTGCCAGACTATTGGGGCCTCTCCGAAGATCCCGACGGCTGCAAGCCCTGCGACTGCGACCCCGGAGGCTCCTACGAGAACTCCTGCGACGTCGTCACCGGACAATGTCGCTGCAGACCTCACATCAGCGGCAGAACATGCAATCAGCCTGAACAGAATTATTATACAGGCTCCCTGGACTTTTTGATTTACGAGGGGGAGCTGGCGAGAGCCACCGATAACTGCCAGGTGGTGATCAGGGAGCCTTATCGCGACGGCAGGAACAGCACGTGGACGGGAACCGGGTTCATGAAGGCTCTCGAAGGATCCGGGCTGAACTTCACGATCGACGACGTCAGGAAGACCTTGTGGTACGAGGTGATCGTTCGATACGAGCCAGTGCAACCTGGACCCTGGGAGGACGTGCAGATCATCATCGAAAGGGACAGCCCTGTGGATCCTAATGGGCTCTGCAGGGATTGGAGACCCGAGAATGATCAGCTGTGGGCGCAGTTGCCGGTCAGGTCCAGGAGCGTCGTCGCCGAGCCCGCTGTTTGCCTCGAAGCCGGGAAAAGATATAACGTGCTGCTACAGTTCCGGAAGTTCAACAGCCACGTGGACACACCCTCGGCGTCGATCTTGGTCGACTCGGTGAGTAGAGGGGCGGAACTTGATGTTTCGACACAGCAGCTTCCCGCGAACACCACTCTTTACGAACGATTTATTTTCGCTCGCTCTAGGAATTATTACTTTTTTGAATTAATTTAATATTACTTTATTAAATTATTAACTACTATTACTTCATTAATTTAATATTACTTTATTAAATTATTAACTACTATTACTTTATTAATTTAATATTACTTTATTAAATTATTAACTAATGTTACTTTATTAAATTATTAACTACTATTACTTTATTAATTTAATATTACTTTATTAAATTATCAACTACTATTACTTTATTAATTTAATATTACTTTATTAAATTATTAACTACTATTACTTTATTAAATTATTAACTAATATTACTTTATTAAATTATTAACTACTATTACTTTATTAATTTAATATTTATTAAATTATTAAATTAACTAGGAATTATTACTTTTGCTATACTGTAACACAATGCGTGTACCTTCCGTAGATCGTCCTGAGACCGAGGATAAAGGACATCCCTTTCTTCAGCACACCGGGCGTCGGGGAACTTCGCCGTCAGGAATACGAAAGATACCGTTGCAGCGACTACTTCAACGACATCAACACCGTCTGGCCCAATGTGCCTGATGTTTGCAAAAAGTATCAGAACAGCATCGGCTACTACGTTTACGACGGAGCACACTGTAAGTGTGTTGAGTTATATAATATATATATATATATATATAATAAGCTTTCGAACGATTGTATTTATATATAAATATATAATATATATACATCACTATATACCTTGATGTTTCAAGATCAAGGGAAACGTTCTCAACGAAATTCTTTCTTAACGATTTTTATTTTCGTAAGGTAAACGACGTTTTCGACGATTCCTCGTGATTCAGGACAATCGTTCGAAAGCTTATTAACCCTTTCGGTACGAGCGCGTTGTCCGCCGTGACATTTCCACTGTACGGGGTGCCGCGCCGAAAATGCGCACATAACGCAGGGTCAGTCCACTTTTGTACGAAGATTTTCGTAAGCGTTAAGTAATGACTGTGATTAATCCGTTCCTAAATCTTTCTTTAAATGTTTCCTGTAAACATTCTGTAAAGGGCCTACAGAAATATGGCTTACATGGATGCCAGATGTATTCGGCACTCGTCCATATTGGTCATCAGATGGATGCCGGATATATCCGGCGCTCGTACCGAAAGGGTTAATCTTCCGATGGTACTAACGGTGCCTTCTGGTCCATTCTGAGTTCAGCAAAATTTTCTGTATACCGATTTTTCCTAATCCATTGCAAGATACAGACAATTCTCCCTAATTGCTACTCAGACTGTGCACAAAAATGGACAATTTGCGAAGAGGAGATACGATTATTCGAGCCTTGCGGCTCGTTTTTTTATACTTTTACCGATTGTCAATAATTATAAAAACGAGCCGCAAGGCTCGAACAATCGTACTTCCTCTTCCCAAATTGTCCATTTTTGTGTACGATCTGAGCGTCAATTAGGGAGAATTTACTGTAGTTGCATGTACAGTAATGTCCCTCTAATTGAGATTGTCCAAAAAAATGGACAAGCTAGGAAATTGAGATACGATTATTCGAATTCTTGCGGTTCATTTTTATGGTCACGAATTGTCAACAACTTTAAAACGAGCTGCAAGGCTCGAATAATCATATCTCTGAGCGTCGGTTAGGGAGACATTACTGTACTCCGTAGCATATACTGCCATACTTAACACTTTACCGACCGGTAGTCGATCAATCGATTTTTTTATTTTCCGTTAGATTCGATTAGGTTAGAGTGGCAAGTAGCAAGCAGCAAGCATTTCTTATTTTGTATTCCGATACTCGTTGCTTTGCTTTGAAAGCACCCATATTTTTATACAATTTATAAAAATTTAGCCTTCACGATGAATGAAAAGGATAGTGTTGGTGAGTTTTATCTCGATGATCTGTCAGATTGTCTTCACTGCTCTTCAGCGAGTGGTACTGATGACGAAAGTGACAGCAGTAATGTAATGATTCGAAAGCGACGTTCCGTATTACCACTATATACAGTGATATAGATTACTATATACTAGATACAGTGATTCAGAAGACTAATATACAGTGATTCAGAAGACGATGATATAAATAATAACGTCGAAGACAGCAGCTAGAATATGCTTCTGATTGGCCGGTGAGAAGGGCATAGGATTCTCGAACCGCTACCGTTCGGTAAAGTGTTAACAGTATTTTACTTCTCGCGGTGTTTTTAAGAAGATCGTAAGGTCTTTGGATTACGATCTAAAAAGTCAGGACGCCATTTCGTCGTTGATAATTATTTCTCCGGTGAATGTTCAATGTTAGTAACTACGAAAAAATGTATTTCAGCCTGCGAGTGCAACCCCACTGGGTCCCACAGCGTCCTCTGCGAGAACTACGGCGGCCCGTGTCCTTGCAAACCCAACGTGGTCGGCAGAAGATGCGACCGTTGCGCGCCAGGAATGTACGGATTCGGGCCCGAGGGTTGCATCCCCTGCGACTGCGACAGCGTCGGCGCTTTGGACAATTTCTGCGATGTGGATACCGGCCGCTGCAAGTGTCGTCCGAATACTTATGGCAGAACCTGCGGCCAATGCGAGCCTGGCTTCTGGAACTTCCCGCATTGCCAACGGTGCGAATGCAACGGCCATGCTGAAAGCTGCGACTCGAAGACCGGCGCTTGCATCAGTTGCCGAAACTTCACCACTGGACACAACTGCGACCGATGCGTGGAGACTTACTATGGCGATCCCAGGATTGGCGTCGATATACCTTGCAGGGCTTGTCCTTGTCCGGGTAAGATCATCTCGAATTCATGCGCGTGGATCCTTCGATTTTGAACAGGCCCAATCGTTGGTGACGTCCTTCGAGGATTGGGATTTGAAGTCCCTTCAAAGTTTAGGGCTAGAAGATCTTCTGAAAAGTAGAAGCTCGAAGCTGGAAATTCTTGGAAGTGTGGATCTGGGACGACATTTAAAGTAGGGTATCCACTAAAATCCAGGATTAAGACATTTTCTAAAGTTTGGGTGCATTAGGCTGCACATGTACCAAGCTGATTAAGATGTCGTCTGTTATTGAGAACTAATATTATTATATTATTGTAACTAGGATACTTCCTTAGCCGCAGTTCAGGTCTCCCTTTAAACTTGAGCTCAGGAGTCTCCTAAAGTTTTGAATCCAGTTCTCTCATCGATGAAACCAGCAATTATTTTCAACAACCCTATCGCTACATTGGTCAATGTTCCCTTCATCTTTCAGGAACCCTGGACTCCGGCCACTCGTACGCCAACAGCTGTTCTCTGGACTCAATGACCCACGACGTGATCTGCGAGTGCTTCGACGGCTACACCGGGCCCCGCTGCGAGAACTGCGCCGAGAACTACTTCGGTAACCCCGAGGTTCCCAGTGGCACCTGCGAGCCTTGCAACTGCAACAACAACACCGATCTACGAGCACCCGGAAACTGTGACCCGCACACCGGTCGTTGCCTCCAATGTCTGCACAACACCGACGGTGCTAATTGCCAGATCTGCAAGGCAGGCTTCTACGGGAACGCGTTGAAACAGGACTGCCAAAGGTGCGAGTGCAATCCTTTGGGGACCGACAGCGAAGCTGGACCTTGCAACCATCGCGGTGGCCAGTGTCCGTGTCTACCTCACGTGATCGGACAGCTCTGCGACACCTGCGAGGAGAACCATTGGAAGATTGCCAGCGGGCAAGGCTGCGAGCCTTGCGAGTGCGACGCTGTTGGAAGCGTTTCTGACAGGTAATTTGTCTTTTCGATATCTTGATTGGTCGAGACGGTTGATGCCAGCAACATGTTTCCACATTCTTTCTTGCGCGATTCTTCAGGTGCGATCCATACTACGGCACTTGCGAGTGCAAGCCAGGCTTCGGCGGAAGGCAGTGCAGCGAGTGCCAGACCAATTACTGGGGCAACCCTAACGTCGAGTGCTATCCTTGCGACTGCGACCTCGCCGGGTCCTCGAGCCAGCAGTGCGACAGAGAGACCGGGATGTGCGTGTGCAAGAAAGGAATCGGCGGTGAGAAGTGCGACCAATGTTACCGGGGCTTCTACGGGAACGCGCCCCAGTGCGCACCCTGCGGAGAATGCTTCGACAACTGGGACATAACTCTGTCCGGCCTGAAGAACAAGACGGACCTAGTGATCCTGGAGGCGTCCAGGATCCAGAAGGTCGGCACCACAGGCGTGTACAGCCAGGAGTTCGACGACATGATCAATTCGCTGGACCAGGTGAAGAGTCTGGTGAGCAGCGCGTCCATCAGGAGCCAGGACCTCGACGAGCTCAGCGACTTGGCTACCGTGCTATCGGCGAACGTCTCGAACTCTGCCAAGCAGCTGGAAGAGGCTAACAATGTTCTAGAGAACGTCAATCATAGAGTGAACTTGGGCGACACTACTCTGAAATACATCAAGAACAAGACGAACAACCTGCACCAGGCTGCCACGGATTTGAAGGAGAACGCGACCCGGCTGCAAGAGGAGAACGTTCTCGGTGCTCTAAACGTTACCCAGCAAATGGCCGAGCAGTCCAAGCAGGCCGAGAAGATGGCGAACGACACCAGCAACGTGCTAGCTGACGCGGAGAGGTTCAGGAAACACACGGAGACCTTGCTGGCCAAGAACAGATACATCGTCGACGAGGCCCAGGAGGCAAACAAAGCGTCCTTGGCCGTGATAGATGAGAAACTGAGGGCGTTCAATAGCATCATGCCCGGGTTGAACCTGCAGATGTGCGGCGACAATGTCACTGATTGCAGCAACGTCTGCGGAGGTGCGGCGTGCGGTTTCTGCGGGGGATTGTCCTGCGATGCTGGAGCCGTGACCAAGGCCAACCAGGCGTTGGACGTCGCTAACAAGCAGGCGGCCAAGATGAAGACGCACAAGGACGAGGCTGAGCAGTTGCTGCGCAATGTGAGTTGAGAATCTCGTTGTTGACGATGAGTTTTTTTTAGTTTCCTGACACAACTTTCTTCTATTTCATGGCACAGGACTGGGTCATTATTTCTATAAACATCCGAAGTATCTTGAGTAGCGTAATCTGGCAATAATTTTTAAAGTTGATACTTGGCAATGCTCTCGTTGAACTATTGGGTTGGCAACTAAGTAATTGCCGATTTCAGTTATAGATGTCTCTCACTCCCATTTTTATGATATCCGTAAATGTTATATTATAAAATCATTATTATTATTATTATGTTATTTTTTATTATCCGTGAATGTTAGCAACTGGACAAATTGAATGCAGCGGTCAAGGAAAAGCGACCAGAATTGGTCAATCGTAAAGGTGTCATTTTCCAGCAGGACAATGCTAGGCCGCGCACGTCTTTGTCCACTCGGCAAAAATTGATGGATATTGGTTGGGAATCGAGGTTACACCCACCATATAGCCCTGATCTCGCGCCATCGGATTACCACTTATTTCGATCCTTGGACAACTCCCTTCGTGGTAAAACTTTTAACGATGATGACGCTGTAAAATCTCGCTTAACTCAGTTTTTGGCCGAAAAGGATCAGACTTTCTGCGAGCGTGGAATTTTCAAGTTGTCAGAGAGATGGCAAAAGGTCGTCGAACAAAATGGAAAATACATTACAGATTAAACTTCGTTCCAAGTAAAAAAAAATTTTTTATTCCATTGAACAAATCGGCAATTACTTAGTTG